TATTATTTTCGAAAAACCAAATATTTCTCCTGATGTTTTTCAAATAATTCTAAGGTGAGCAAAGAAGAGAATTGATTGGTTGATTGATTGGGGTTGATTGGGGTTGATTGGTTGATTGGTTGAATTATTTGGTAACCTCCAAATAGATATATTTATATAGGTAAAATATCACTTGAAAAACTAGACCCGATATTTACTTTGGACATATTAACGGCAGCAAATGAATTGATATTACAAGAACTTGAGGCTTCTGTAATCAGTTTTTTTACAAGACATCATGTCAACTGGATTAAAAATCATCCATTGCAATTGCTATTCCACACAGTATTCAAACTAGAGTCATGTCATAAAATTCAACAATTATGCCTCGACAACATTTGTAATGATCCTGATATAGTTTTCAACTCTTCAATCTCCAAATCAATCAACGAATCAATCCTTCTCCAATTACTTAAACGTGATGATTTGAGAATGAATGAAATCAAGCTGTTGGATTATTTGATTCAATGGGGTGTAACCAACCTTGACATTAATTGTAATGATGGTAATGTTGTTGACAGTGTTTCAAATTGGACACAGAATGAATTTGATGCATTGGATTCTATTTTGAAAAATTGTATCGGTAATATTAGATTTGAAAATATTAATCGTAACGAGTTGAAATCAATCGGACAATTGAAAAATTTTGAAAAATTTTTGGAAAAATATTTTTTACAAAATGAAGAAAATTTAATCGATTCAAACATCATTAATTTAAATCACGCGATACTTATTTCTGATTGGATTGATCAAAAAGATATAAAATACAATGATAATAACAATACTACAGTTTATGGTGTGATTACTCATCAATAATAATGTAGCTATTTTTTGGGAGAGTAGAATTTGCTTTGATTGATGGATGGTTTTCTTCATTTACTGGAGAAACAAATCCAAGCAGAAATAAACTCATCATCGTCACACATTTAATTAATCCATTTTATTATACGTATATAGAACATCAGCAGGATGGATGGACAATCATTGGATGAAGCATACAATATTTATTTACAAAATATTCCACGCCTGATAAAACAAAAAGCAAACATTAAAAGTGGCATATAATTTCACCATTTTAGGAGTTCGAGTACCAGCTCTTGTCATATCACCATATGTACCACAAAACATTTTCCACATTTGAAGCTTGATGATCCAAGAAATGATTGTTAGAAAAATTGCCCGATATCTATAATTGGGATGGTAAACCAATTGATGGAACGCCATCACCACCAAGTCGGCTAGAACTTTAT